AAAAAATTAAAACTTTTATTATGAATGCTTTTATTCATCAAGGACACATTAAATTAATCAAATGTGACAGTAAAAACACTTATAATCTTACAAAAGATTTGTATGAATTTTTTTATTTTATTTTTTATTTTACTTTGTATCCATCAAATCGAATCTTTAAAAAATGTGTCACTAAAGCATTAAAAAAAGCAAAACTAAAAAAATAAAAGTTTTCAACATTAATAATATTAAGAACCATTATTAATATTTGAGAACCAATAATAACTGATGATAATTGAGCACCAAATCAGCATGTTAGAATGATTTCTGATCATGTGACACCAGAAACCGGAGTAATGCTTTGCATCACAGAAATACGTTTTATTTTAAAATATATTGAAATAAAAAACTGTTACTTTAAATTGTAATATTTCACAATTTTATTGATCAATTTTACAGATTTTCCGATTAAATAAATGCAGCCTTAGTGTGCAAAAGAGACTTTTTTCAAGAAAAAAAAAGCTTTATTATTCGAAACCTATATATATATATATATATATATATATATATGTGTGTGTGTGTACTGTGTATATTAATTATGTATAAATACCCACACACACACACACACACACACACACATGCATGCATGTATACATTATACATACAAAAATATGTCATGTTTATATATTAAATCTATTTATATATAATATATAAATTATATGGATATAAATTTATTCATATAAGTACATGTAAATATTTTCAAAATATATACTGTATGTGTGCGTATTAATACAGAAACTAAACAAATGTTTGGTATTTTCAGATATTTAATTGCCACAATAGTGAATTTGTGTCATTATCATTTGGCTTGTCTCAGCAAATAATGATATGCAAATAAATGTGATTATTAATCAGCATATCATGTAATTAATTTTATTGTTTTTCACATGATTGACAGTCCTAGTAATTATATTTTCAAGTGGCTGGAAGATTCTGTTCTCATATCATACTTTCCCTAATGATCACATGTCCCTCTGTGTAATTCTGATTGGTTGTCAGCAGATGAATATATTAGCTCTCTCCTCGTCTCTCAGCCAATCAGTTGCCAGTTCCATAAACATAGCCACAATGTCAACTTCTCAGATTTAAAATAGACCCGTCTACATCTCTGTGTAACTGACTTAAAGTTATGACCAGTCTTAAAGAAAAAATTCGATGACTAACATGAATAAACAGTCACAGGTTTTCCGTCCATAACCGTGAGCCGCCAGTGTGAGGATCTGACACTGATATTACTGTGGATACGCTTCTGAGCTTAGATGGCAGACTTTAAGCATTTTACTGCACAGAAATATGTTTGTGTTATTGTCTAGCTGTGATGATAGACTACTCCAGTTTACAGCATGCGAGAGAGCGAGCGACTGAACAGGTAAGTGAGGAAATGTAACAGCATTCATGATAGATTTTGTTTTCCCAGAGGCGTCTGCTGTGAAACTGGGAATGGAGACCAAATGACAAGATTAGAGCCCAACAAAACCCCCCTTCATGTGGAATAAATCTACACGTCAGCATGAGTTTGGCGAATTCAGAAAAAAGACACTTTCTATAAAGTCTGACAAATGAATTCCATCTATTTTTACACAGAGAAAAATATACAGAAAACACTGGCTGTGTGTAAAGTGAGAGCACAGAAGGAAAAATTGAAATCGCATCATATGACCCCTTTAATCTCATCAAGACTGCATTTGCTTGATAAAAAAGTATCAGTAAAAAAGTAAAATACACTAAATAAACAGTAATATTATGAAATATTATTACATTTTAAAATAACTGTTTTGTATGTGAATATATATTAAAATGTAATTTATTCCTGTAATGCAAAGCTGAATTTTGAGCATCATTACTCCAGTCTTCAGTGTCACATGATCCTTCAGAAATTATTCTAATATGCCAATTTGCTGCTCAAGAAACATTGCTTATTATTATCAAAGTTGAAAACAGTTGTGCTACTTAATGTTTTTGTGGAAAATGTGAATAATTTTTTCAGGATTCTTGGACTTGTTTTGAATAGAGTTCAAAACAACAGTATTTGTTTGAGTTTTTTCTCCAAGTTAAATGCTTTTACTGTAACTTTTGACCAATGTAATGTGTCTTTGCTAAATAAAATAATAAATTTCTTAAAAATGAAAAAAATTTTTTATATATATATATATACAGTATATATATATATATATATATATATAACACAGATTTAGACAGATTTGTGAACAATATTTGAGAGAAATAGGCCTTTTGTGTACATAGAAAAAGTCTTAGATCAGATTTAGATTTAGATTTCATGAGTTCAGCTCATGAAAAATGGGGGCAAAATCAAAAGTGTTGCGTTTATAATTTTGTTCAGTGTATATACTGACCCCAAACTTTCAGTAGTGCATATACATGTATGTATTTTAAAGTAATATTTGCGCTACTTGTGAATTTTTAAAGATCCATAGCAAATGCAAATCTAACAGTAGACCTATAATACTAACACTAATGCTTTGTCAATGTATTTCAATACTGATCCTCGAGAAAAACACTTAAGAAGCCTTCTGTTGCTATGGCTACTTTTGTATGTAAGCATATATTTGGCACCATGTGTGTTCCGATTAACTTTTGATTACATAATATTACACAACATTACACAAAACTGCTGTTTCCTACGTTATAAGTAGAACTAAACCGTGTAGTTTATCTTCTTTCCATGAGTTTCCCTTTATCTTTCTCTCACTGGTGAGGTTGAAGCTTTCATTAGCAGGGTCAGAGCTCTATAATCCGCACCCTGCCATCCATACAGTGATTGCTAACGCTCAGCTACCCTGATACACTCAACTATCACACTGGAGGGTTACGGACTCATTGAAGGCAGCTCTCAGGTTCAGCGAGCAAAGAAAAGCTCATTGGCTCTGACTAATAGGTCACTTTCCTTCAGTACAAGCGCTGAGGGAACAAAGAGAAAACACCCACACACAGGGAGGCGTAACGCTGGCTGAAACGCTTCCTGCGGCCGCCACGTGTATGTGTGTGTGTGTGTGTGTGTGTGTGTGTGTGTGTGTTTGTCAGCTGAAGCTGCCAGAGCTCTAAACACAGCATTGAAGTGGCAGTTATGAGACCATAAGTTTGAAATGAGCTCGTTTCATATTGTAATTAAGACATATGAATCTGTTTGTTTTGTGTATTTCTGACAGGCACTGAATGTCTCATTTGTTGGCTTACTTTGAAGACAAACATCTCCCTCCTGAGGATGGCTAGCGTGTTGAAGCCGCCGTCACAGATGTCTGGCTTGGCGTTGGGGTGCATTGGTTTGTCGCCGGTCGGTATTCGCGGGGGTCGCGTCTGCCTGTCGTTTTTGCGTGGATCTGCGGGAGGGTGCGAGCGGGCCAGTGGAACCGTCGGTAGAGGTCTCGTGGGCTGGAGAAGTTTATCTGGAGGTCCTGAAGAGAGGGAGAGAGATAAGGGTTATCAAACACCAAATGTTTTCCAGTTTCTAGTGATTTTTTAAAAATCACAATTAAGGGTGGTTGACTGTAGTCAAAAACCTCCTCATAAATGGCAAAATCTTGTCTCATAATACATACAGTCTAAATTCAATATTAATGTGCCATTAGCTTTGCAATAGTAAACAGCCTACAGTTAAGTTAATGCACTACACTACTTTCCGGAATAATACATTTTTAGGAATAATACATTTAATGATTCTTTAAATATTGTGTTTTATTATGATGCTGTTTTATTATATTTTATAAAAGCAAGGGGTTTTAGAGGCTAAATGCATTGCATACAAATGTCCCTAACCCATTGTACTATGTTTGTTTGTTTTATTTCTGTTGACGCTTTTATAAAGACATATAAAATAAATAATTCAAAAAGTAAGATAATAGTAAATAAATAAAATAAATAATAATTATATTGAAAAAATATTATTATTATAAATCATATATTATAAAAATAATTCATATTATTTATATATTTTTATTTAATTTAATTACATTTTAATTAATTTTATTTTGTAGTATATGTATCACAATTATTTCACCAAGTAATATATGTCATTACTAGCCTAACTTTATATTAGTTTATGATTATTGTGTTTATATAAAATGTATAAATACCCCTTACCCAATATTTTTCATAAATTATGTTAGCTCTTATTTATATCATAGCATATGTTACAATTATTGTACCAATTTTAAGTAATATATTTCATTAGCCTAACCTCGATTCAGTTTATGAATATCGTGTTAATATAACATTTTTAAAACTGATTACATGTGTATATCAGCCATCTTTATAGCTTTGAATGCTCACACAAGTTTTGTCATATATA